GTCCTTGACGATATAACGTTGACTGGTGCTCAGTAGTTTCGGGATTGGTCAAGTATGGTACAAACAGTGCTCCCCTAATTTCCCGAGTGAGGGAAGTTCCTTGGTTGGGGACTTGCAAGATCCAAGCCATTGAGTAATCACGAAACTTCTAAGTACCGAAATGTGGTATTATTTTCACTTGCCTTATCTGTCTCATATGTAGATGTGGCATCTTTTGTGGAAGTACTTTTCCCCCGTCCAGGGGTGGTATCTTTAACCGATGAAGATGCACAAGGTAATGTATCAATTTCACTTGAAGCTTACTTGTAGTTTCGGGCTTGGTGAAGTGCAATACAAACCCTATAGTAGGCGTCCCCAAAGTCACCGAGCTAGGAGATTTGCCGAATGAGGTAACAAACAAGGTAAGCAATCAGACTTCCAAGCAAGCAACCTGGATCGAAGATTCGACTTCGGCTTCCGGTTGATTGTTCTCATTCTCCTTGTGTCGTAAACAGCAACAAGGATAAGGAGAAGCAAATGGAGAAGAGATGATATGAGATACTTTTGCTTTTGAAGAAATAATTTTCCACAGGCTTATTCTTGAACTGGGCTAGAGGGTTTTCTGGTTTCCTCCAAAATATAAGGTCGACTCAAGAATTTGAGGGTCAAAACAAGTCCATCAAATCTAGAGTACGTTCGAACTTGATGATATGAAATACTTTTGCTATTGACAAAGTAGTGGATGTATCGGCACGTTTTCTGTTACACTTGTCTTCACATACTTCCTTGTATCCTTCTCACTTGCCTTATCTGTTCCTCAGGCAGATGTGGTATCTTCTCTGAAAGCGTAAGATGTTGAAGATGAGTACTCGAGAGTAATGCCAGATAAGTAATCAGGCAAGGGGTTCCAGGTAGTCAGTTCCTGACTGGAAGCTTGATTCCAAATGCTGACTGATTGCTCTTTTTCTCCTTGTCTTACAGGTAAGAACAAGGCCAAAGGAAAAGACAGGGAAAAAGCATGATATGGGATACTCTTACTTTTAACCCTGATGATATAAGATACTCTTACTTTGGTGTGGCTTGTTTGCAGAGGTATTATCGGGAGGAAAAGAAGTTGAGTATTTTGAGAGACTCTGCTGCGAGTGCCTTCTCGGATGTGAAGAAAAGTTGAGCATTTTTTTTATTTACAGGTCTGCCTGGCTATGGAGGATGGAGGTCGACATATATAGGAGTTTCCCAAACAACAAGTAGTGGTGCTATTTGATAGGAGAATATTTATGTAACTTAGTTAGCTTGTTTCTTGGCATTTACTTAGTTTAATTCTAGTTATTTTAGTACTTTAAGCTATTTTCGTGTGTTTGTAAGTTCAAATAACAAAGTTAGCAACAAAGTGCTATTTGGAGCATTTTGGAGCATTTTTGGGCCAAGATTGGATAGTGCAAGCATGGAGACATGAGGATAGACGTTTTTGAAGATTTGAAGGCTAGAAATCAACATGTATGTGTGCAAGTGTGTTGACCTACAACTACAAACATCCATCCAATACACCCATTACATCCACTCATTACCAAACATCCATCCACTACACCCATTACATCCACTCATTACCACAACACTCACCCACTACACTCATTACCAAACATTCATCCACTACACCCATTACATCCACTCATTACCAAACACTCACCCACTACACCCATTACATCCACTCATTACCAAACATTCACCCATTACACCTATTACATTCACTCATTACCACAACACTCACCCACTACACTCATTACATCCACTCATTACCAAACATCCATCCACTACACCCATTACATCCACTCATTACCAAACACTCACCCACTACACCCATTACATCCACTCATTACCACAACATACACCACTACCACCTTAATTAGATGATCCTCTCCCTAGCCTATAAATACATCCACCCTTCACCATAACAAGGGAGAAAAAAACAATCCAAAACACACACATCATCTACACAATTCTCCACTCTTTGCCACATTCAATACAACCTTCATCCAAACACATCCATTCATCTTCACATTCATTCCTCCATACAAACAAACCTTCAACCACTTACCAACACCTTGTGCCGTAGCAAAGGAAGGGAAGGAAAGTGCTTGGACGTACTTGCTGTCCAACTTGGATCGTTGGAACGTTTAGGTGTTTTCTTTCTTTTGTTTTCAATGTTTAAATTCATTTTCTTTTGTTTTGTTGTGAATATGAGTGGCTAAACCCCTCTTGGCTAGGGGTGATTTCAAAGCCATGATTATGTGTGCAATATAATTTGATAAATTCCAGTTATGAACTCTTGAATCATGAATGCAGTTGGCTTAACTATTTGATTGATAACTTATTTGTATATGTTAATTAAGGGTCGACACTTAATTGACATGCATAAATCCGTTGCCAGAATATAAGGAAGTTTCACATAATCGTTACAAACTTATATTCACATGTAATGAATGTCGCTTATAAACGATCGCGTTAAGTTCAATTCCTAGCATGAGTGACATGATGTCATAGTTGCAAGTGCTTTGTCAATGCTTATGATTTTCATTAAACGTAATGATCTTTTATTGTATCTCTATTATGATGTCATGTAGCGAACTTTAGAAAAATATTTTAGGTTGTCGAATGATGTCATCCAATCCAATAAAACAAGAAAAATATGAAAGTTAACTAGTGATGTCACGGTTAATTTGGAGCATTGTCGTTCATAATTCAATGAAGGAGTAACTGGAAATCGAGTTATTTGCATACATGTCATGTGTGGAGAAAAAACATCTATCTATCTCATCCATCATCTTATTTCTCAAATTTGTTTTACAATCTGTCTAGTTTTTTCATACTTGTTTGTTTGTTTCAACTTCGTCCAAAACTCAATCCCCATTTACTGTAGTGTGTCTAATTAGTTAGAATCTGTTTTAATTTGTGTTTTTAAATGTTTTGATTCAAGTAAAAGTCAATTTTTGTCCAAAGTCATTCCTAGTGTCTAATTTAAGTTTATTTAGTTATTTTAAGCTGTTTTGAGTATTTTAAGTTTGTTTTGAGTCTTGTTAAGTAATTTTAAGTTTAGTTTTATGTTTTTAAGTCAGTTTAGAGGTTATTAGCAAGCCCTCCTAATCCCCGGTAAAAGAGGATTAAATTTGTGTGGTAAGATAATTTTCGCATCACTGTTCCTTTACCCTTCTTGGTCATAGCAATATAGTGAGAGCTGCAAACTTCACGTGTTTTAACTTTGTCAAAGCACTTTGAAAAAGTGGTCTGTGGTATCTGGAAAACTGATGTTGCGTGTGAAGATTGCAGACAAGCTTTATCCAAGGAAATCTGGCTCTCAAAGTTCGGAGAGTGGTGCCTCTTCGATTTTCGAACAAGCAATCCTGTTGGGGATCTAGCTTTCGAGATTCAGAGAATGGTGCTTCTTCGATTTTTGAGAAAGCAATCCTGTTGGGAGTCTGACTCTTGAGATTCGGATAGCAGTGTCTCTTCAATTTTTGAGAAAGTAATCCTGTTGGAAGTCTGGTTCTCAAGATTTGGAGAGCGGTGCCTTTTCGATTTTTGAGCACGTAATCCTGTTGGCAGTTTGGTTCTCAAGATTTGGAGGGCGGTGCCTTTTCGATTTTTTAGCACGTAATCCTGTTGGGAGTCTGACTCTCGAGATTCGGAGAGCAGTCTCTTTGATTTTTGAGAAAGTAATCCTGTTGGGAGTCTGGCTCTCGAGACTCGAAAGGCGATGCCTCTTCGATTTTTTAGCAAGCAATTTTGTTGGGAGTGCTTTCTCGAATGTGAGTAAAGGTTGGGTAATTTTGCCAGTATGTCTTGCCACGGAGCACGGAGGTTGACATACATTGAGACTTTCTAGTTATCAAGCAGTGGTGCTGTTCATTTACCCTTATGGGTAATTGTACGGTAGTTAGACCTTCAAAATTTATGTGTCTAAACTTTGTCAGAGATCTTTGGCAAAGTTATCTATGGTACCCGAGGAGCTGATGTTGCGTGTGGAAAGTGGTGCCTCTTTGGAATCCGGAAAGTGGTGCCTCTTTGATTTTTGAACCAACGGCCCTGTTGCCTTTTCTTTTATAAGGGCACCAATTGTGTGCAAGAAGTACATTCAGAGAGTTATTGCTTGTAAGAATTTTCCCCTTACTTCAGAGATTTATTGCACCTCATTTCTCCTTCATCACTTTGAGAATGTCTAGCCCATCCGACTGTCGTTTTGACTTGAACTTTGATGAAGAGGCAGTCATGCCTTCTCAAGACAACATATGGCGCCTATTCTTCTTATCCCCTACTGGTCCTCTTACCGTTGGGGACTCTGTGATGAAAAATGATATGACTGCTTATACCATACTTGACCAACCCCAAAACTACTGAGCATCGGTCAACGTTATACCGTCAAGGACCCAGAAGAGTTTCCCTCCAACCAGGAGGCCAATCACAGCGCGACACGTGTCGACATCAGAAACCAATCATAGCGCGACACGTATCAACATCACAAGTCAATCACAACACGACATATGTCAATGTTAGAATGAAACTAGAAACTCTCTTCTATAAATAGAGATCATTCTCTCACAATATTTCCTAATGTCATTTGTACTAAATCATTCACTTGTACTAACAAAATGAGAGCTTGAACCTATGTACTTGTGTAAACCTTTCACAATTAATGAGAACTCCTCTACTCCGTGGATGTAGCCAATCTGGGTGAACCACGTACATCTTGTGTTTGCTTTCCTGTCTTTATCCATTTGCATACTTATCCACACTAATGACCGGAACAATCTAGTGAAGGTCACAAACTTAACACTTCCTATTATACCAAAGTCCTCACTGATTTTGTGCATCAACAAAAAAAAAATTAAAAAAATTAAAAAAAAACCGCCAAGTAAAGGCTACATCAGCCCAGGCTTACAAAGCTTTGCATTTTCTGATTCGAAAGTCCCAAAAAAAAAAAGGGTTTTAATTCAGCAGGTGAGTTCAAACCTAATCAAATTCAAGTCTTTTTTATCATGTCATAATTTTGATGGAACACTTGTATTATATTGTTCGGGAAGTCAGGTCCTTCATGTATTACACTGTATTGCAGGTTTAAAAGCTCACAAATGAAGGAAAAAAACAGCTCTCATAATTTACAAAGGCCTTTCAGAGTGAGCACCTGGTAATTAGTTCCCAAACTTCCCAGCCAACACGATGCTGATGACTTCAACCGGAATCCGGGCAGACGTTTCCATACTACCTTATTCTTCACTATTTCCCTGAAAATCAACACAATACATGAATTTGGATGAACGTAAAATACAAGCCAATCAATAAATAAACTTTGTTTCTGCCATTTGAAGGTGGCATAGCTTGAACTAGAGAATCAACTTCGAGGTCATGAATAACTTCAATAATTTGACAGCAGATATCGGTAACCTAGAGATTTAGGACAAGTTGACAAAATTGTTGTGACCAATCATCTAGTTGGAAAAAGAATGGGAAGTAACTGGAGATTAAAGACAACCATTCTGAAAGTTAAATCTTGAAGGAAACTGACAAAGACGAAATTTGAAGAGACATAAACTAAAGTTATCCCCTTCACTATACCCCTCACGGAGTCGTTACCCAGACATTTTTCTAGAAAGCAGCATTTTCTGATGGTCTACAAAAGTTATTCAGGTAATCGAGGATGTTAAGGAAAAACGGTAAGTGGAAACTCAACTCAGCTGAACATGGCAAATACACTACGGGCAAAAGTGAGTCATTAGTTCCATCATTAGTAAGGGGACTTCAGCTTTGTGTAAGAGTAATCTAGTTTTCTTGAAGAACCTACAGAGACAAGCAAACAACTCGAAAAGAAAAATGATCTTGACTTAGTCTTCCAACGATAAATCAAATAAAGAGATATTAGTTACGGTTACTGAACAAATTAAGGAAAGAGTGATTCCCCTGAACTCGGGGGAAATGGAAGCCCAATGGGCAGACAAAACCCGAATTCTGTCCCATAGCTCTGCCAAACCAACACCGGCATAATCATAAAAAAACACACTTCAAATAGGATGAAATTTTTGGATAAAAGATATGGAAACGAAAAGTTTGTAAATTCAGTAGATATGCATGATATGCAATCTAAAATACAGCATCATTTTTAAGATAAATACTTAAAGCATGAAAAGAAAACACTGAATTTGTGTCTAGAAAATAATTTTGATGAGATAAAAATGATATCTTAGCATCTAATTAGCACAGAACATCCATCTGTTTATAACTTTATAGTGCATGACAAAAATAGTGTGCATGTATTTTATGTGCACTTTACATTATTTCTTAAATTAAAGCACGCTTCCTTTTCCCTAAATTGAGAAGGTAGACAGCGCCCCCCCCGCCCCCCCCCCCCCCCCCCCCACCCAAAAATCCACACATGCGTCCAGCAATTGTGAGCCAGGGGTAGCCCCAGAGAGCTTATTACACAAGTTAGGTTTTGACCTCCGGATTTACACTTCTTGGGGCAGTTATTTAGGCCCTCTTGTTGCTTTCAGCAGTTAAGCTTAAACCTGGTTTTAACTCATTTTAATTGGGGGTTTGACAAAGGGGTCAAAATTTGGCCGCAAAGAAGCAACTAGAAACTACATTTCTTTAGATCCGAGAACTACCCTCAAAATGTAACCTTTTACGATAATTGCTAAAAATTATGAGATACTGAGAAAACAATTATATGATTAGAATACAGGTAACATGAGGGAATGCCAACTGCAAATTGCCAGCACCTATTATGAAACTAAACGAAACCAAAATATTTAACGGGTTGGTATAATAGAAATAGAGAACCACCAAATAAAATAACAAGAATAAATACCTTCATTGAGGCGGAATAAGTGCAATTTCAATTTCTTGGAGGGACTTTCCTTTTGTTTCTATTACATTTCTCTTCACAAAAACAACAGCCAGTAAACAAAAGGTAGCAAAGACTGTATACAGAATTTGTGGCCCAATTTGCTCCAGCAAGGGTAAAAACAACAGGCCAACAAAGAAATTTATCACCTGTTGAAGGCACAAAATTCGTTACAGCGAGATGGCATTAAAATTTAGAAGTTTAGAGAATGGAATTTCTGTTCATAGAAGAAAGTAGCATATTCACTACAAGCAAACAGAAGCAATATTAATGAGACCTCAAATTCAACTCGAAAGAACGGATTCTTACAAGAACAGCCACATTCAACAAATATAATTGCAGCAAGCCATAATGATATTAGCCTATCAGTATACAAACAGGAGTGCATTCTTGCAAGGTTAATCTTTGAATTACTTCCAAATTCAAGATCACAATACTACTTTATCAACCACGCAATGGCCTAGTTTGAAAATAAAAACAACCATGCGATGGCCCAGCCATGACAGTTGTTGGGGCTGGATTCCAAAGAAAAGATAATTGATCTTTTTCAATGAAAAGTTCTGTCGGATTTCAGTAGAATCCCATTAACTCTCATTTTCTAAAGCTAAATATGTTCTCACGTAATCCCAAAGTCTTTTACCAGCTTACAATTTTAAGTTTTTAATTAAAGATTAGAACTTGAGAAGGAACATTATTATGCAGAGATTCTAAGTCACTGTAGATGAAAAAGCAACCTACACTTTATCATTAAGGTGAAAAAGTAGTAATTGATAGTCAAATTCAATGTACATGGTGGGTAGTCAAAATTTTGTTTCGGATAAAGGGGGTGGACTGTGGAGGAGCTGTTTACACTAAATCGTAGGATGTTTTAGACTGACTGCCCCTGCAGCCATGACTACGTGTTAATACCAAAACTTGCTTTCATAGACTGAAATTGATCACGTTCATAAAACTATGTTTGGTATGTGAGTATGATAAGCCATCAGTCAGCTCCTACAGTGGAGAAAATAAAAGGTGCAATGAGTCATATATTGAAAAAATATAGAAGACAATTACCCAATGCACGGCCATGCAAACTGCCATTGCTTTTGCCCTAATACGGCCAGGAAGAATTTCTGAAAGGAGAAGACCAGGCACTGGACCAGCTCCAAGAGCAAACATCAACACAAACCTGCAAAAACCATTTGATAATCTAGATTATCATAACAACCACACACCCAAAGCTTCTGTGCATATTTGCTTTATAATCTCAAAGTCATTTATATATGGCATGTGGAAGTATAGACATGCATGCACAACGCATTAAAGTAAAAAATCTGTGCAGAAATGGCGCATCACATGATAATATGTTATATTCACTCAATTGTGTCAAATTTTTACAGTATCATTAGGCAACAATTGGGTTTAAATATAGAAAAAGAAAGAAACCAGAATGGCTAACTAAAATGAATTCACTTATACCCTTTTAATTATCCCAGTGCAAGACTCATTTAAAATTCCCAAACCATTCAAGGATCTGTCTTATCCTAACAGCATTTTTTTTTCGTTATTTTATCTTATACTTATAATAACATAGCTTTTCTCTATCTATAAACAAGACTGAAGCTGATATACTACTGTTTGGACCCAACTACTCACAGCAGCATGCCGCCAACAGATAGACTCAATGCTCCAGATCCCGACGTATAAGAACTTGCTCCAGTTACTTGAAGACCCATTGCCACTGCCTAAATCAAGAAATGCATAAAAGGTTAGATAAGATATCATACTGTCTACTTGATGCAAACAAAAAGGAGAGAACCTCAGTTGGACCACATGCAATATGGGTACCACTGATTCCATAAAACAGACATAACTAACATTTAATATTTTAGCTCAAAAGTTTGCATCAAATATTCAGAGTATTTTAGGAGCTTACCATGCCAGAAAAGCTTCCAAGAAGAAGTACCTTTCTTCCAAGCTTATCCATCAGGATCATTGCAAGAATTGACCCTAGAATAGTATAGAGATAGACCAAAAAATAAGAAGAATGGTAATAAGGAAACATATAAGCAAATCTCAAATAGGGACAAATAAGATACTTGAGAATAAACCCAACCATACCCGACAGATTTGCAATTCCAACACATGTGTTTGCCAGATCTGAAGGCACCCCAAAGCTTTTAAAGACAGTTGAAGAGAAATAGAACACAGCATTTATGCCTGACAGCTGTTGTAAAGCAAAAATGGTAGACCCAATGAAAACCACTGCAAAATATGGAGGTGATAAGGTAATCATACAGAAGGAAGCACATAAATTCAATCCTGAACAACTCATATACTAATGAGTTGAAAATATACTTTTGAAATGTCGGCCATACAGTAGCTCTGAAAACTTTATTGTCTCTAGTTCATCCCCCCTGTCAGACTTTGACAGTTCTGCCATTGCAAATTTAACATGTGCTGCTCCTAAAAGTTTCTCAAATTCAGCTTCAGCTTCAGTACCTCTTCCTCTCTGAACGAATTCAAAAACAACTGTTAGCATCAATATTGATAAGTAGCCTTCAATGGGTCAAAAATAAAATGAAGCATACTCATACCAAGCACTGTAAGGTGAGTAACTGATGAAAGTTCTTATGGATAATATCACCCACAAGGCATGTATACATATGGGAGAAAAGAACCAGCTAAAAGAACAAAGAGACACCAGTTTCCCCAAGGAATAATAATGAGCACTACCATTACACATTTGCAATACAAAGAGAAAATGAACCTTTTCTCTACTGGCAACAACAGAGAGAAAGAAAGAAAGACAAAAGAAGAAAGTGAGTGAACAAATTTCAAATCCTCCTTTGAGCCAGAACTGGACACAATTACTAATCCGGATCATTGCATATCTATATATATGGTATGTGCATTATACTACACAACAGGTACGTTTATACCAAAATATACATAATACTATATATAAGTAATAATATGTTAATATCCTAGATGTCAGAAATTAACAAGAAGCCAATTTCACTAAAGCTGCATAGAGCTCAACCAATTCAGGAATCAAGACTACATATAGGACAGTTTATATTGAGTACAAACACGAGAACTAACTTGGCCAAATGTTTTAAAGGTCAATGATTAAGGAATGAGAGCACATAACCTTGAAAAGCCACTGAGGACTCTCTGCACAGAACTCCATGCAAACAGCTAGCACTGCAGCAGGAACAGTAGATACCCAAAAACAAACTCGCCACCTAAGCATCAACGGTGTTGATAGAAAATAGTATTCATTAGATAACTGTTGGAAAATAAAGAAGACGCTTAACATAAGAAAAAACAGATCAAAACTTGAAATGAAAAGTCTTCAGGATTTTTCCATGACTCCATAAGAATATCTTACCAACCCACTATATCCTTGGCAGGGAGTCCAATAAAGAGAGACCCCATAAGTCCAAGACACGTAGAAATTTGTGTGAAGCTCCCAAAAGCACCCCTTACAAAAGCTGGTGAAATCTGCTCATGTAAACAAAGCATACTTAAACATTTAATAAGATTTGATGCAAACTAAGCAATGTCAATTAACAGTTGCAGAGAAAACAACAAATTTAGTTTCTTATATACCTCTGACACATAGATAGCAGCAACAGGTGGGCCAATTCCCATCCCAGTTCCAACGAATATCCTCCCTAGAAGCATGCCCCATAGACTTTTGGTTGTTGCACTGCAAATTCACATACAAAATTATTTAGTATGAATCATATGGTTTACTATATGTGGAGTTTGTGACATTGACCCTTTCTCTTATTGTAATGGATGTAAAAAAAAAGTAAACGAATTTCTAATTTTGGCAAGGGAATATTTCTATTTATCAGGAAAAACTTTGAGTGAGAGGCATAAGAAGGAAAAACGTGCAAGTTTGGATCATGTAAAAGGTAAGCATAAGTACTTGACAACTTCATTCTCAGTACTTTGTATAAGGTTTAGGGTTTAGAGCGCTCATAAGAACAGTTGAAGCAAGGCACTTAATGGTTTATCTGGAAACTTTTGAGTGCAAGAAATAATAGGGACAAGCATGAAAATGGGGTCATTAGTAATTCTTCATCTTTAATTTGTCCATGTTCAGTTTTCTCTTTGTACAATTTCAGTGTGACTTGTCCATTTAAGTTCTTAACGTTTCTCAGTTGGTCACACAGTCACACTTACCTTTTATTTTAAGTGCACATGATTGATATTATGATAACAGTGTTACCTCATTGATGCACCGATTATCATCGGCAATGCACACATCTGGAATGCCCTTCGATGCCCCACTCCATCTAGAATCCAACCACTAAATAGAGATCCAACAAAAGCACCACCTAAACATGTACTCACTACTAGACCTTCATTGAAATAGAAACAATATCAGGTCAAATAATGAAATACTTTTAGCTGAGAAAAGATCTGATATCCAATAACACTTATTACCCTTTGCCAAAGGATTCCCACTGAAGCCAAGGTCCAAAGAAATGCTATCTAGTGTCTCGTTAACCACTCTGCATTAGTAAAAACAACAAAGAGTATACTATTCAAGTTAGAAAAACATATCAATCAGAAAGACGGAAAAAAAAATTCTGAGTTTTTCAGGAGTAGGGATGTCACCCGAGATGGTAGCCATATAGGAACGAAGAAAGAGCTGCCACAAGCATATGCGGCAAGGAGCGCTTCCATGAAGGGTTTCCAATACCTTTTCCATTCACTAAACCTACTAAAACCCATACAAGGAATCAGCCACAAACGCATGTACCATTTACAAAACCAAATTATCTAATACTGCTTTCAAAATTTATTAAAATCCCATTTCAATGAAACTTCTAAAGAATTATGTACAAACCATGTAGGAATTTCCAATCCGAGACCAAACAGAGAAAACGGTAAAGCAATGTAGCACCCCGGACATAGAAACAACAAAACATAAAAAACTGTGACAGAGCAATCCGTGAGTACCTGCACTTTCTTCTCTATCATAAGCATTGATATGGTCCTTGGACGCCACACGCTTGTATGCCGAGTAGGCATCGACATGACGACCCCGCATAGCAAAATTATAGAAGCCTTGTCCAAAATTTAACACAGAAAATTGTGCAGCCGACTGCAACCACCAGACAAAACTGACCAATTAAATTCTAACTAATTCATCATTTTTTACCTCATACATTGCTAAGTGCGAACCAATCTGGAAAACCAAGAGCCGCATTGCCAAATTAACACACAAATCACAGTACTAAGTACAAACTTGAGTGATAGAATATCCGATCCGGTACATCACGAACTATAACTTCAAATTTGCACCATCCATTCATCATACAACAAGCATACGATATCCACATCAAATATATCTATATATATATATATATTATATAAGCATGCAAATATATATATATATTATATAAGCATGCAAATGTGAGATATCATGATCAAACGCAGGAGAGATCTTGCTAGAAACGAAGAAAATTGAGCTTCACATGCGAAACGGTGGCGTTTCGGATGTCACAGTAATGGGAAAGCAGAAAACTCACCATTTTCTCAAATAAATAAATGAGAAAAAGTAGAGCAGAGAGAACTTTCAGCTGTAGACAGAATTTTCAAGGATTCTGGTGAATCAACTGTGACCTATAAAATGAAAATATACATAGATATACACATGCATGATGCATTTACATAAGACACAGAGAAATTGAGTACCTGTGTAAAATGCGGAGGTGGAAAACGATCTGACAGCGAGAGGGGAGAGAGAGATTGAAGAAGACGTAGGTGGAGAAGGAGGCGGAGGTGGTGGAGGAGACTAAACTCCGGCGGTGGGAGGTGAGAGGAGAAGCAGAGGCACTGGTTATGCGTCACTGTCAGCTCTGCAACTCAAGACAAGTAAGTCTAAGCGAGCTTCTCGAAACCGTCCCCTGTATATTCGGAGGAGAGATATTTCACGTCACAGTGATAGTATATCGTGTGTTTTTATATAAGATCAATTTTAATGGTTAGGCTAAAAAGTTAAATTTTTTAATTCAAAAAATTTAGAGTATGTTTGATACCCTACTCAAAAATTTGAATTGTTCTCAAAACTAATTTTCAGGATCATCTCTTAGAAACAGTTTTTTTTTAAGTTTCAAAAACTTGTTTGGCATTGAACGTAAAAACTATTTTTGAATCAAAAAATTTGAAAACTTGTTTGGTTTAACTCTTGAAAACAGTTTTTTAGTTTTTTAATTTTTTTTAATTTTTTAATTATGTATTTTTAAGATATACAAAACATTTGAAATGAAACCTTAAACATACTATTTTGATATTCATGTGCTAATACAACACATATATGCTCGATAATCAAATTAAACTTCAAGTCTTAGATAATAAATATTACATTAAAACAGTCTAGAAAACCAATAAACTTTGAGACTAATTGTTATTGATGTAATCAAGCCACATTGATCCAGCTATGTGGTCTCTAACATCATTCATAACATTGTCGTCATTCAATGCATGTTTTCCCCTTCTTGATTAGCCCCCGAGCTTTTTTCATCTACCACATCAACATCATTATCTTCAAATTGTTGAAACAAAGTATCATTCCTTGATTGCATTCTAATGAAATTGTGCACAGCACAACATGCAACGAGAATGTGTTTTTGCTTCCTAATTGGATTATTTGGCATCAACTTTAGAATAGGAAAACGATTCTTAAGCACTCCAATGCATCATTCAACAACATTACGTAGTGATGAGTGCCTAAAGTTGAACAATTTCATTGCTCCTCTTGGATGTTGACCTCTTCCTCTAAAATCACGCAAGTGATAACTCACTTTGCGATATGGTGCAAGAAACCCACTCATGTTGGCATAGCCGGAATCAACAGCATAATATTTACCTATTCCAAGAACAATGCATATAAGTATTTCACTTGAACAAAATACAATAAGAAAAAAATTACAAGTAATTTGATATGTTTCAATGACTTCGTACCTTCTTTTGGCATTGGAAACCTATTCTCTTCTCTTGTTATTGCATCCATCAACACTCTCGAGTAATTAGACGTTCCTTCCCATCCGATGTAGACATATGTGAACATCATGTCAAATGAACATGCCAACATAATATTTTGTGTCACACTAACTTTTCTACCTCAGTATGAAATTTGTTTTGATTAAGGAGCCCATGCACTGATATGTGTTCCATCAATAGCGCCAATGCAATTCTACCATTTTATAGTTCAATTCATAACATGTTAGTACACAAAATATAGTTTACTTCAACCTAAGTTGTTATTCTAGAGCTTTAAACATGTATCTTTCTAGGTACTGTAGAAAAATAATAGTCATGATCTAACTAAATAATAAAATGTACTTTATAAATATATTACCTGAAACTATGGATCGTACTTCGGATTTCCCAAAATCTCAGAAGGTGTCGCATCCATATTTGGAGGTTGAATTATACGAGTACCAAGTCGACATATTGCTTTGAGAACTCGGTTAAATTGTCTTGACACAGTCTCTTTAGAATGTTGAAAAGTTTCAGCAATTACTCTGTTACGGATTGTATGACTGATAGTAAACAAGAACATGCATACGGCCTCTTCCACACAAACTTATCTATCATCTTGTAGAAAGTTTAATTCTCTCAATGTTGAGAACAAATTCCTGAACGTGTTTTTATCCATCCTTATAATATCAAATAACCTATGTGGATGTCCATTCAATAAATCTATCACATATTGGCGGCCTGAAAAATGTGAAGTCATGCATGGCTCTTTATTTAAACATGAGTAATGATCATATAATCTTGTAACTAAAAGCAACTCTCCAAGTGAATCATCCAAATCAGATGATGAATCACTTTCTGAACTTGAACCATTGTTGTCCACTTCATTTGAATCCATCCTATATAGACAAACAACTAATTATATTTTACAACTATCAAGTAATTAATAGCTAAACAAAGTGACAAGACAATACTATATGATAATAACATAACATTAATCATATTACCAACACAAGTCATTTCCATACTCATTTAATTATAGTTCATCATAAAACAAAAGATCTCAATACCAAACACAAAAACATATCCATAGTCTTACTATTCATCATATTACCAACACACTAACTAACAACCAACTTGGACTATTGAGGTTTCTTACTAGGGCTATAACTATTCATTTTAGACTATTGAGCCATAATTTTTTCCTCGATTCAGACAGCTTCATAAACATCCTCCTCCAATCCGAGTTAGTGAACTTCTCCAAAGCTTTCAAATAAGCGATATCATCAACATCTTCCATGCCCTCAAGTACTTCCATACAATCTTCAATGGTACTTAACTGGATACTTCCTTCTCTCTTTTACGCTTAACCTTTTCCAATGTAGCCTCATTCTTGGCATCAAGTGACTTTACCCAAGCTACAAGAGCTTCGTCCATTTTGGTTGACTTGGATGACTTTGACTTTGAGGAAAGATCACTTGGAGGGAAAAGAGCACAACGCTTGGTACTGGTTCCTTCATGTCCCTCACTAAAAGCCTTTGAACCACTTTCGATACTTTTTCTAATGTGTGCACCAGTGGTAAGAAATCCAGCTTCTAACTCTCTCTCAGAATCAGAATTTGGAGGAGAATTGGTGGATGCATGCTGCATTTGACCAGTAGCAGTGGTATTATTGAAAATTTCTCCAAGCACCTCATAATGAGAACAACCTTTGCTATGGAAACGGATAGCAAACTTGTTTTTCTGTAAAATTTTAAAATAGGTTGACCACACTTAGAAAATAATATTATATAATGCATATCTATAAAGAAAATACATTATATAATACAATAAATAACTTAATATAAGTTGACCAAACTTCATCAGATGCTTGATCAATGTTTGCAACAGGGCCTCAACCCATCCCAGTATGATTAACAAGCTTGGCAAACTCACGGTGAATCTTTCGCAACCGATTATATTTTTGCTTCAATTTTTCACGAGTGTATCTCTTACCATATTTGTCAAACAACTTCATGTCAATCGCATCCCATTGATTCTTTTCTAAAGTGTTGGTTTGCAAGCCTTTTTTTGTCTCTTCATACAACAGACTAATAACGTAGTCTTCAATAGGTTTTGGCCAATTAACTTTATCATTAAGGTCATTTTCAAAGTCCTTATTTGACATCTTTCAGACACGTACTAGAACAATGTAAACAGAAATAAAAAAAATTAATACAAAGCTAAAAGCTACATTCACTTACGAATGTTAATGCTAAAGTATAATATTAAAACTTAAGGTATGAATGTACAAAGCACAAAAACAATAGAAAACTACACATGAATCAAAATATTGTGATGTCAACACTTAAAGCCAAAATTTCTAAGCGGACTATGAATGCACTGGTTCACATAGAAACAACTACAATTAGGAAGAAACATGGTAGAAAAGATATCACTTTTTGATCTTTTCTAACAGAACTTGCTACTAACTCAAAGAGTGACAGTAAGTAATCAAACTTCAGGTGAAGGAGATCTTATTTGTAAGATTTTACAAATATAACGTAGTTTTTCTCACGACCTTTTCATCACTCTTCATGTAATGTAATCGTGCATTTTTTATCCTAATATCGCAAATAACACAAGGAGATATTGAATTTAAGGTTTGCTTCCTTGGACGTTTTAATACTTAAAATGTTCTCTTTCATGCACTTCTCCCTTTGCATTGAAATGTTGATCGACTTAATCCTAATATCGCAAATAACACATGGTATAATACGTAACAGTCTTGAACTAGAATCATGAAAGGAAACAAAAAGGAAAGGCTTTGAAATCCCCTAGTTTCAGAAGTTGTGCACCTCGTTGCAAAAAGTCAAGAAATTAAAGGGCAAATAGGATTGTTTCCAAACAACATAACATACTAAATTGAGGGGGCAATTATGACTGAAATATTCCAGATCAGAGAAAATAGTATGAGGCAACTCCACCTCAAGTAACTTAGGCAAAGTTGAAATAGATTCAACTTCACATAACTAGATTAAGTCTATGAACAAATACGATACTTAACAACACATGAAAAACATCTAGAAAAGGGTTGGCATGGAAATGTTTGCCCCTAAAGTCACAACACCAAATCAATCTATGCAATGGTACCGGGTTAGCATTAAATCCTTTCATGATAAACACAACACAAGAAGAGCCACATGATTATAAGTTACATTCGAAAACGGTCATCGAACCTTAAGTAACATCTTATTCAACCCAAAATCAGCTAGACTTGACAACAAATTCAGTCCACAAAAATGACAGTATGACTGAAATATCCCAAATCGGAGAAAACCCACATCACAACAAATTCAGTTCACAAATCAATCCTCATTGGCACATCAGAAAACATAAATAGAAGAGTTTTCAGATTAATTACCAAGCTATGAGCTCGATCGAGCTCAGTTAGGGTAATATATACACACAGTACACAAATAAATCTTACCAATTAGATAGATAAACTCAATTTCTGACAACCCAACAAACAAAAGACATGAATCAACTTTCACATCATTTCCTCCATTTTCAAAGGCACGAAACAAAACAGTAAAAGACAGACTCATTACCTTGGTCGTTTCTTGCAGTGAAGAGAATGGCCCAATTTTGTCCCCAATCAAGCACTCAGAGATTCGAGGCTTAAAGTTATTCACCGGAACCTTCACCCTATTGCCCGGAATCTCTTGGTCGTTCGTCGTTAGTGAGGCGCAAGGAGTGGTTTGCGTAGCGCAGGTCTCAGACCTCCATCGCGAGTCGTGACGCAGGGATATGAATTCGTGAAAACAAAAACCCTAAAACCTGACTTTTGTTGTTTTCAAATTATAATGGGTTGTTTTTAAATTTTTTTTTTGTTCAGTTTTGAAAAATGGGCTTACCAAACAGGTTTTTTTACATTAAAACTTAAAAATTGTTTTTGAGTTAAAAAC